TGACCTCTTCTTATCCGTTTTCCCAAACGATGCTAAACTCCACAGTGTGCATCATCATGGAATCGTTTCTATCAGCTGTTTCCTACCTATCCGCTGTGAGATGATCTGTGGGATCCTGTGCTGATCGTCCATCTTCTCCTGTTGACTCTGATCTGGATGAGGGAGAATCTTCACCAGCATCTTCTCTTCTTTTAACTCTTTCCCTTTAAACTCCGTGAATGTTTCTTCAGCAGGAGTTAACTGCTCAGTGATAAACTCTCCTTGAAGCTGGACTGAAGACATTCTCACTGCAAACACTCCCAGATTATCAGCCTCTCTACAATGACTCCACACACAAGCTAAGCTAATGCTGCTAATGCTGCTAATGCTACCCGATCCCTACCAGCAGCTCATTGCGCATGCGCAGCCACATCTACATCCGGGTCACCCTCGATATTATTGTTATTATTTTTTTAAATACCTAAATAACTTTTTTTCCTCACCCAAAAACATTAAGCATACTAAACTATAATTTGTTAAAGGTTAATAATGCCTTAAAATCTTTTCTTTATTTTTTTTATTTTTTCAAACTTTATTTAAATATCAAGCAAATAGTGTACAAACACTTGCTGAGGTACAAACATTTACAACATGGGTAGAAACAAAAGCAAAACAAAAAAACTTATACATGGGGCTAAAAAAAAACAAAAACAGGTACATAAACAATAAGGCCAATGACTGATTTTTAGAGCAAGATTCAAAACAAAAGAAAAGTAGAAATACTGGCAGTTACTTTTTTGGCAGAAACAGATTTTAAATGTTTCACTGAGGTGCAATACAACTTAAATTGGTGAAGAAAAAAATCAAAACAACGAGTAGAACCTCTCCATTTACAGCAATGTATATAATATTTGACAAGCAAAAATACAATGTTAACCATATCTGATATTTTACTATCAAGGTCATCAACATAATACAATACGTGGGCGACGGTTATTTCTGGGATGTCCTCAATTTTAAGGGATAACCAATTTTTCATGTCCCTCCATAGTTTAAAAGAAAAGGGACAGGAAAAAAAAAGAGATGATTAAGGGATTCATCTGGAGATTCACAAAAGGCACCACATGTTAAGTCAAATTTAAATCTTCTGTGCATAAATGTTGCCACTGGGTAAATATTATGAGAGATTTTAAAGTGAGTCTCTTTAACCTTTTGTGAAACCGGCCATTTAACATACTTAGAGAACACCTTCTCAAATATAGGCAAATATGTCATTTTTAAAAAAAACTATTATTGTAATCATTAAATAATTTAGCTTTGAAGGCTGTCACAAGCACAACATTATTACATTTTTTATCAGTCACAAAATATTCTCCAATTTTCAATTTGGGTAAATATGGAGCAACATTTGAATATCTTAAAGTGTTTTGGATGAGATGGATCAGAGCTACAGGAATAGCCTTGCAAACTTTTAGATATTCATTAGAAGTACTGTACAGATTAAATTTGTTGGTAAAATTTCTATGGTCTAGCAAAACACCATTACTGTCCATTAAGTCAGTTACAAATAAAATACCTTTTTCATACCAGTCAGTTTTAAAAATAGATTTTCTATTTATCAATATTGACCTGTTATTCCACACTACTGATCCATGAGGGGTACAGTTGTGGGTAAATATAATCTTCCAAAAATGTAGTACTTGTTTATCATAATTAGACAGTGAAATGTTGATTTTGGTTAGTTCAAAATCACATTTAAGCAGAAAATCCAAGCCACCAAGCTTATTAAATATAGATTTAGGAATGTGAAACCACACTGAATTAGAATGAGACAAAAAGGTTTTTAGCCAATTTATTCTAAAAGAACCAATCAGAGCCTCAAAATCTGACGCTCTAATACCACCCCTATCATAATCCTTAACAAGATGTGATCATCGAAGATAGTGAGTTTTATTTCTCCAGATAAATTGAAAGATTATCGAATTGGCTTTTCTAATATTTTTGTTAGAAATAAAAGCAGAATGGCATGGATAAATTAATTTAGATACTCCTTCAGCTTTGGATAAAAGAGTTCGTCCAAAAATAGTCAGGTCTCTGGTCAACCAATGACTCAAGGATCTCTTCATGGAATTCAAGCATCTACCAATGTTTTCCTCCTCTCTTCTAATAGCATTTTTCTGAAATCAATATTCCCAGATATTTGATTTCAGACTTGACTGCAATGGACGCCTCAGAGCTGGAATGGATCGGCAGAAGTTCGCATTTATTAATATTGAGAGACAGACCAGACGTTCGGGAATTTTTTTTTTTTTTTAATGGATTTAAGCGCAATGTCTACCATAGTTTTATCTCTTAGAAAAATAGTTGTGTCAGCAGCAAATTGACTTATTTTGAATTCCCTGTCAAAAACTTTGATATCACGTAAATTTGAGTTTTTCATGATCAGTTAGGTAAGCAATTGAGTTGTAAGTATAAATAATTTAGGTGAAATTGGGCAGCCCTGCCTGATTCCCCTTGACATAGAGAAACTAGGTGTCATACTCGTTCCCAAGGAAACCGAACTACTTATATTACTGTAAAATAATCTAATTATATCGCAAAATCTTTCCCCAAAGCCAAAATATTTTAAGGTTTTTATTATAAAGCAGTGTTCCAGTGAGTCAAAAGCCTTGAAGAAATCCAGGAATAAAATAAAACTGTCACTATCAATAAAGTTACGATAATCAATCATATCAAAAATCAGTCTAGTATGATGATGGATATTTCTTCCCTTTAAAAAAGCTGATTGGCATTCATTAATAATTGTTCCTAATCCACTGTTCAAGCGATTGGCATAAACAAGAGCTAAAAGTTTATAATCTGTACATAAAAGAGTGATGGGTCTCCAATTGTCCAGTGATAAAGGATCTTTGTTGGCTTTGGGGATCAGAGCTATCAAACCTTGTTTCATAGTGGGAGAGAGATTATTGTTTGAAATGCATTTCAGCAGGGCCTCAAATAACAGTTTTCATAAATCTTTCCAAAAGAAAGTATAAAATTCAGTGGTTAACCCATCAAGGCCTGGAGATTTCCCTTTTGCCATTTGTTGTATTGCTACATCAAGCTCTTCGATTCTTAGGTCATCTTTTATAAGATTTTTAAAATCAAGATTAATTATTTCAACAGAATCCTGAATTTCATCGAAAAAAGACTGGCAATTGGATTCTGAGTACTTGGAACAATACAAATTGCTATAAAACTGTTTGATTTTTGCATGTATTAAATCAAGGTCTTCATTGATACTACCATTAATAATTAGCTTCTGAATCTTCTTTTTGGACTGTCTCTGCTTCTCAAGATTAAAAAAATGAAGAGTTTTTTCACCGTTTTCAATCCACCGAGCCCTGGAGCGAAAGAAAGCTCCCCTTGCTTTATCTAGAAAAACATCATCTAATTGAGATTTGAAAACATCAAGCTGACTCAGCTCATCAGACGATAAAACTGATTTTGAACATAGAGAATTAATATTGCCAATAAGTTGGGATTGTTTCTGTCTCCTCAGTTTTGAAGTTAGTTTACCTATATTTATTGCTGTAGCCCTGACATCATATTTGAACCACTCCCACTTATTTAAGGGCGACATATCCATTACAGAAATGTCCTCAATAAGGTTCAGGATTTCTGCACAAAACGTTTTATCGTATTTTCACGACCATAAGGCGCACCGGACTAAAAGGCGCAGTCTCAGTTATGTATGCCATTTCTGTATTTAACACACACATAAGGCGCACCGGACTATAGGGCGCGTTTTTTATATACAGGTACATGTCCTCTCAGGTGGATTTTCCCACTTAAAAACATATTAAAACTACTTTACTCCCACTGCTCACAGCAAATAAAGCTGCAAGGTGTA